TGGGGCCCGCGGCGGTTCTGGAGGGTGCTCTGCTGAGGCCCAGCTCTGTGCAGCCACGTGGAAAGCGTCTGGGGCAGAGCTGATAGGGAGGTTTTTTTTCAGGAAAAAAAAAGAGCAAGCCACCAAAACAATTTACTGATACAGAAATTCCCATGGGAAATGTCAACCTTTTGGGAAATTTTCTACAAAAGTATTTGAGCTGTTGTCAAAGCTGAAAAAATTTTATCTTCAAATTTTTCAGTTTTCAGCCGTGTATTTGCTTTGAACACAGCAGCTTCTTTCCTGGGTATTCTGGGGGGCTGTTCTGTGCCGCAGCCCATTTGTGCCTGTCAGCTCTCTGTGGTGAGGGCCATGGGATGACACTTTGGATCTTGGTGTGTTGTAGGGCTGCCTCCACCCTGAAGATATCCTGACAGCGTCGCCCAAGATGCTGCTGCCCTCGTCTGCCCAGCTGCCTGACCTGGGAACGCCCCTCTCTGCCCACCACCAAATGCAGCTTCTCCAGCAACTTCTTCAGCAGCAGCAGCAGCAGACACAAGTGGCTGTGGCACAGGTTGTTCCCTCTGCTCTTTCTTGGGGACAGTGGGAGGGCTGGGGCAGCCAACCTGGAGGCAGCATTGAAGGCCAGCAGCTCCATGGGGAGGGCAGGCTGCCTCCAGGCAGGGATGCTCAGGTGGTGGTTATGGGAGAACGTGGGGTATGAGGGATGTGGACAGACTGTATCCTGGGCTACGCAGCAAGGGGAGAGGAGTGGCAATTTGTTCTGACCCTGTCACAAAAGATGAGCTGCTTAGGTCTTCATGCTACCAGGTTTCTTGGTTCTTTGACCCCTGTCTGCTTCCAATGCCTGGCTTCAGCGTTAGCCCCGGCTGACTGCTGACTGGGCTGTGCAGCTGGCAGCTTGTTCTCCATGCAGGTATATCTCATTTAAGCAGCTCTGGCTGCTTTATCCAACTCATTATTTTAGATTTTCTTGTTCCCTGACCCCTCACAGAGCTCTCTGCATTTGCTTGACTTTTTTCTTGGCCTGAACAATCAGCTCCAGCAGCCTTTCTGTGGTGTCCTGCAGCTTTCCTCTTCTCACATCACAATATCAGTGTTGGTCCTTCTGGCTGAGCTGCTGCCCTGAGAGCTCACGTGCCTTCTGGGGTCATGGGCTCAGGAAGTTGCTTTCCTCTCTGGAAGAGAGACCTGCATCCTCAGAGGATCCATTCTATCTGCCCAAGTACAGTATTGCTACAGGCAAAGCTTCCCAGGCAGAACTGGCAGCTTTCTCTGTGCTAGGGACTGCTTGCCTTTGGTAGTTCCCAGTCTTTGTATACGTGAAGAGCCTCGCAGTGGCAATTTTTGTCTTCCTTTTTTCAGATTAAAACAAAAAAAATCTGAAATTGTGTAGCACCATTTCTTGGCTGGCTCCTGGAATGGCAGCTAGTGATCTCATCCACCTCTCATGAAGGGCTGATGCCCTGCTCTGGACTTCTGCCCACCCCAGGGTGATTCTTGTCCCAGGAGCTGTCATTTCGCTGTTCTTTAATCCCTTCAGTGCATGCCATGGTAGCTTTGTATCATTGTGATTTATTAATTAAAAAGTTGGGCTTTATCAGGTCAAATGCCTTTCAGATGACTGGATGGATTACATCAAGACCTCTGTCAATAGTACTTGTTACCTTCTCTCAAAAAGTACCAAGTCAGTTTGTCTCTGAACACACAGGATGGACACAGGACAGATTCTTTACTAAGAAAGCCAGGAGATCCACCATGTTGACCAGGATCTGTGCAGGGACCATCCTGTAATTATTTTGGCCTCTTAATTATTTGGCCGACGCTGAAATGCTGTTCAGTTCCCTCACTGACCAGAGACTTGCTTTTGCAAGGCATTTCCAGTTACCTGTGAAACTTCCTTCTCCTGAATTAACCCTTCTGGGTCTTGTCTCCAGGGTGCTGGTGGCAGAAGCCACTGCCCCTGTGCAAGGCATGACATTTGGGTTCTGCTCGCATCTTCTTCCGGCATCACCTGAGCATCACCTGGGCCCTGCTGCAGGTACCTGTGATGGAGACAGCTGCTGGCTGTGTGGAAGGATGACTTCCAGGCTGACGCTGCCAGCACTGAGCTGTGGCACTCACTTAGCATTTAAATGTGATTCCACCTCTGCCAGCTCGGCTCAGGGTCTCCGCTTCACCTACATGCATTTGGCAGAGGGTCCCCATCCCACCACACTGCTGTGCCCCCCTGTCCTACCACCAGCAGGAGGAGGAGGTGACTGTGGCTCCTTCAGCAGTGGTGTGGGTGTCTTACCTGGCTGGGGACCCACAGGCAAACCAAAAGGGCTCTGTGTTGCCTACTCAGAGTATGAGGTATTGCACCACCTCACCCTTGGTTTGGCTTCAGGGACAGTTGCAAGTCCCAGCCCCTTGCCTGGCCTCCTGCCACCCCCCCGAGCTCACTGTGCTTCAGCTCTTCTCTGCCAAGAGCACTGCTCTGCTACCTTGCTGGCTGCATCTGGGCAGCTCAGGACAAAGTGGGCAGCACCTGCCCGCCAGCAGGCCTGGCACTGCCTCCTGGTGCCCATCCAGGAGGGGAGGTGGCCCCCAGCTGTGCTGCTTTTGGGACCCTGCTGCCGCAGTTGTAGCAGCTCATGGGTTTGACAGGCTACAGAGAGCTTCCTCCTCTTCCCCAAGGTCACTTTCTAGGTCAAGGTAAAACTGTCTTTTTTGCTTGGCACGTTTTTTGTGTAGTTTTTTTTCTTTTCATTTGTTTGTTTTTAAATCCATACTTTCCTGGTTCCCCACAAGCCTGACTGGCTCAGTCCTGCTGGAGAGAGGAGCACTTGCAGGAGTCATGGGTGGGTGGCAGGAGAGGATGCTGAGCTGGTGTTGTTCCTGGGTAGCTCTGCACTGCTGTCCCCTTGCCCAGAATATGCTCCTGGGGCCCTCCTTGCTCAAGCTCAAATCAGAGGTGCCTCCACTGCCCCTGCATTTCTGTCTGGTCTTGCCCAACAGCATCAGCATCACACCCTCGCTGGGATGCTGTGCTGGTGATACAGATGCCTGCACATGCGTAGCTCTGCTGACATCAATGGGCTTCTCACCTCCAGACTCCCCCCGGGCTAACGTTCAGGCATTGCTTCCTACGGCTAGAGCAAGCAGCCAGCTCATGTCCCCAGCGCCACCGTGTCTCAGCAGCACGCTGCCATCTGTGTTGCTCGGGGCACGTTGTGCCTGTCCCGCCTGCAGCTCCAGGGCAGCTCTGATGCTCCCGCCCCTGCTAGTGACAGGGAGAGGTGCCCGGAAGGACGGCTCGGCCGGGCCCAGCTCGCGGCATGTGGCTCTGTCCTTCTGCGCCCGCAGCACCAACCAGTTGGTCGAGCGTGTCTTCTCCTCCACATCCATCTGGCCTCCTCCTGGTGCCCTTTCCTTGTGCATTCGCGGCACATGTACATGACCGATGGTTCGGTCAGCACCAACTCCCTTTGCCTCGGGCTTTTCTGTCAGAGAGGCCAGGGGCCCACGCGCTGGATTTGCTGAGTGTGCCCTGGAGTGACACTGCGGCCTTCCCCAGCTCTCCCCATCCCATCTGTGGGTGCCCGCAGGGAATGGCTTCTTCATCACATCATTTGGTGGGATTCTGGTGAGACTTGGTAGACGAGCAGGGGTAGATGGAGTCGAAGCTTTCAGCCCTCGAGCAGCATCTCCCAGACACTTACCCACTCTGTCCTGTCACACAGGTCCACTTGCTGAAGGACCAGCTGGCCGCGGAGGCGGCGGCGCGGCTGGAGGCCCAGGCTCGTGTGCACCAGCTCCTACTCCAGAACAAGGACTTGCTGCAGCACATCTCGCTCCTGGTCAAACAGGTGCAGGAGCTGGAGCTGAAGCTGGCAGGGAACAACACCAGTAAGTGTTTCTGCCCTTTCCTGTCCCCTTGCAGCTAGCTGGGCCTGTGGAGGACATGTATGTGAGTGTTTCTCCTGGGATTTTTGTGCATTTCCAGTGATCTTGTGTAGGGGAACAGTAAAGGCCTTCTGGCCTGGCTTGTGCATGTGCAGCAGGGTGCTTGCATGCAGCATGGGAGGTGGATGGGGAGGGCTGTATGGACAGGTAGTCACGTATGTCCATCAGCTGTATGTCCACTTTCCCAAGTGGCGGCATGCTCTAGGTCAGCTCTTTACATACCCAAGAAGCCCTCCTTGACCTTCTCTCCAGCAGATGTGGCCATCAGATCCCTGCAGGAGCTGGGGTGGGAGACAGCTATCTTTTTATCCTGCAAAACTGGATCTTTGTTGGCTGACAGCAGCTCCTGGCACCAGTGACAGTCCCTCGAAATGGTGCTGGTTGGGAAGCTGACAACCAAGTGGCCCAACACTGTCCTCTGGCCAGTCTGTAGCCAGCCACGGTGGCTGGGGAACACCCAAGCAAGCTAGGGTAGCACTGCGTGCCTCTCAGCTGTGCCCTTCTCTTGCAGCGGGCTCCCAGGACAGTCTGCTGGAGATCACCTTCCGCTCCAATGTCCTCCCTGTCCTCTGTGACCCGACCACCCCGCAGCCTGAGGACACCCACCCACCACCGCTGGGCCCCAGCTCGGGCTTCCCCAGTGCCCTGGGCAGCCCCATAGGTAGGAACGACTGTCTGGTGAAGCTGGAGCGCTACCGCTTCCTGCCGGACTCGGGGCCGCCCGACCCGGAGCCAGCGCTGGGCAGCCTGGAGCTCATCAAGTTCCGCGAGTCGGGCATCGCCTCCGAGTACGAGTCCAACACGGACGAGAGCGAGGAGCGCGACTCCTGGTCCCAGGAGGAACCGCCGCGCCTGCTCCACGTCCAGCCCAGGCAGGACCTGGGCGACAGCCTGGAGGACGAGATCGCCGTGTAGGGGTCGGCAGGAGGTGGTGTGGAGCAGCCGGGACCCACCAGAGCTGGGGTGGACCCTGGCCATAGCCCCCTGGCCCTGGCAGGGATGGGACAGCCCGGAGGGAGAGGGGGCGGAGGAGGGAGCGTGAGGCTTCCAGCACAGGGCCGGGGGGTGTGCGGAGCTGAGGACGGGGCCGTGCAGAGGGGAGCTCCAGGCATGCCGTGTTCCGGCGTGCGTGGGCTCGTGCGCTGAGCTGGAGTGCCCCTGCCTCGTGTCAGACAGCGAGCTGACAGCTTCTGCTACACCCTGGTCCCCGTCCCCCCACAAGCTGCATTTTGAGGCCAGGCAGAAGGGACTCCCTGCTGGATTAACCGCTGCTGCTGGTGGGGACGCAGTAAAGTAGATGAAGGTTTTTGCTGAGAGAATGAAAGAGCAGGCACAGGGCAGTGAGTGGGGACAGGGGGCACCAAGGAGGCAGCACCGGTGTGGTGAGCATGGACAGAGCCACTGACAAGGGCTCTGTGGCACTCTGTGTGGTGGGAAAGGTGAGAAGAGCCCAGGGCTGTGCTAAGGGGTTAGGAGTAGGGATGGTGCACTGTTGGTGTGGGTGTGTGAGAGAGAGGTGAGGAGCCAGGGGATGGAGGGGATGAGCCTGGGAAGGACCTGAAGCAGGGAGATGAGATTGCGCTGGGTGGCTGGACACAGGCAGCGCCCATCAGGATGATGGTGTTTGTGGCACTTCCAGACAGGGATTGTACCTGCCTGAGGTGGGTGGAGGGGGTGTGGGCACTGTCTGCTCCTCTCCCAGGCTGTGGAGAGAAGACATGGCTCAACATGGAGCAGGGAGCCAGGGCATGTAGCACATGGGGCTATGGAGTGTCCTTCCCCTTATTGTCCAGTCTGGGCTCCTCAGCACGGCCACCAAGATTCTGGTGCTCTCAGGCCACGTTTTTAAGCACATCCCTGCAGACCCTGCCTCCCCATCACCACAAATTCCCTGGTTTGCTTTATAGACAACCCTCCTGTTTCCAGGCAGTCATTTGAACCTAGACCAGAGCTGAGGGATGCAGTGCTAGCGTTGGCCATGTGCAGGGACCTCCAACGGATCCAGAGTTTGTTTTCTGCAAACACGTTTATCAGCTGTCTGTTGCTGTAGCCTTTAAGAGGCCATGGCTGAAGGAGTATGAAACAGAGTCCTGATGTCTGCCCTGCTCCTTGTAGTAACACTCATCAAGGTGGGGATTGGCACAGGTGTCTTCCTCCACATCCACCTTCCTGTCCTGCTTCTGCTTCACTGTACTGCTTCCTTCCACTCTTGGCTTCACCAGCTTTGTCTCTGCTAGACCTGCCTGCAACTAACCCTTAGCTGAACATCTCACAGACATGAGCTCTTGCTCTCCTCCAGGGCTTAGCCCAGCTGCTGAGGAAGGTCCATTGCTTCTTTCTGCACTGGTCCCCTTGGGACTGAGGGCTGCTGAGGAGTGAGGTGTGGGTGAGACCCCTAAGGGCCAGTATGAGTTGTGCTGTGCACCCTCACCGCAGGGTGAGGCTGAATGCTTTGAGGAGCTAGAGAATCCTAGGGGGAAGGAATGACATACTTCAGTGTCCTTAGCAGTGGCCTGGTGTCCAGGGGAGCAGATGCTGGTTGCAGTGTGTCCCAGGTGCTCCTGTCCTCTGGCCACCAACACCTCTATATGCCCTGTCAGGTGCCACTGCATGCCAGCCTCTCTGCTGGAGACCCCAATGTCCCAATCCTGCCTTGCAGCAGCTGGAGGTGGAGGCACAGGGAATGACATACTTCAGTGTCCTTAGCAGTGGCCTGGTGTCCAGGGGAGCAGATGCTGGTTGCAGTGTGTCCCAGGTGCTCCTGTCCTCTGGCCACCAACACCTCTATATGCCCTGTCAGGTGCCACTGCATGCCAGCCTCTCTGCTGGAGACCCCAATGTCCCAATCCTGCCTTGCAGCAGCTGGAGGTGGAGGCACAGGGTGAGAGGCTGGTCCCTGCCAGGACCAGGGTGGGTTCAGTTCAGCAGCACGCACAGGACATGGTGCGGGAAGGGTCGGGATGTGTGAGTGAGGTCAGAGAGGGATTTCCAGGGGGGCAGATGGGTTGTGCAGGAGAGGTGATGGCATGTGCTTGGCCATACACACAGGGCAGATGAAGGGAGAGCCCAGCAGGAGCAGCAGCAGGCAGGAGGTGTCTTCCAGGCTGGGCTGCCTCAGAAAGCAGGCAGGGCTGAGCCATGGCTCCTGCCCGTCCCCGCTGTGCACATGCAGCCCAGGGTGGTGCCCCGCAAGCTGTGGGGACCAGCTGTGGGCTCGGGCTCCTGCCCAGCACTCTGCCTGCAGGGGACAGTGGTGGGTGCCCCACGGGCTGAGGGGGTGCGGCTGGTGAGTGGGACCCTGCCAGTGTCCTGTCGCACTGCAGGTGTACATGTGTAGATGATCCTTCTCCTAACTCAGTGCTGCCTCCAAGATGCCTCTCTAGCCTCCCGCTTTTGTTATGGACCTTGACCGGGAATTTATAGCTATATTTTTTGTCCTTTCTTTCCTACAACTGTTGTGTTACTAACTGTTTACTCAATCTATCTGGGAAACCAATCTGTCAATGTAAGTGCACTTAACCCTTGGGTGTTGTCATTAGTCGACTTGCTTTTGCTAAATAAATCTTTCTATTTCTCAAGGCTTTCTGTTGTTTCTTCCTTCTCGCTGACTCTCTTTCTGTACTCCTCTCCCGCTCCATGCTGGGAGGCAGCACCAGTGGTGGCATCCCTTGGCCATGCACAGACCCGCTCCAACCTAAGCATCCTGCCCTGTGGGACCCTTGCTTGTGGTGCCAGCCACAGGCTGCTCGGGAGAGGGAGGTGCCCCAAACACTGCTGGGAGCAGAGAGGTTTCAGTCTTTCCCCTTCAACCACTGCACAGCGTGGGCTCATCTCAGGGCTGACCCAGCAGCTTAGGGGTGCCAGGGGGTTCCCGGGATCTGCAGAGCTCCCTGCAGAGATGCAGCAATTCCAAGCAGCGCTTTTGGCCTCCAAGGAGCTTTTTGGCTGCTGGGGAAGGAAAAGTCGGGAAGAGCCTCTTTTAAAGGATGGCGGAAGTGTTGTGCAGGCAAGAGCCACAGGCAGACAGCCGGCCGCTCCTAAACCGCTGTATTGTGCCGCTGGCAGGAGCGATGGAGCAGTGCCCTCCCGCGGCGGCTGCCCGGCTGGCGGGGCTACGCGGGCACCCTGGGGGATGCAGCCTCCTGCGCCTCCTGCTCCTCCTGCTCCTTCTCCCACAGGGCCTTGAGCCTGCGGTAGTACACCTTGCAGCTGTAGCCTTCCTGGGCGCTGTTCTGGATGTGTGTCTTGACCGACCAGAGCACGGGGAAGATGCGGCAGCACGACATGCACTGGTAGCCGCCCTGGGGCACCGGCTGCTGCTGGGAAGCGATGAGGATATCCCGGACCGTGATGCTGGCCCGCCTGGCCTTCTTGGGGTGCTGGGGCTCATCTGAGGATCCAGAGGAGCAAACAGTCTCAGAGAGGTCATCAGACTCCTCACACTCCTGGGCGCTGGTGGTCAGGCTGGAGGAGAGGCTGCTCAGGGGCTGCCCGGCATCTCCTTTGGTGTGTACGAGGTAGCTGTAGGGCGAGAACCAGGGCCGGTAGACGGTGCAGGCTCGGGCAGGGAGCTCGCTGCCTGGCGGGGCTGCAGGGCTGCAGGCTGTGGAGGAAAGGGCCTGCAGTGAGTCAGGGGTCCCTGTAAGAGCCTGGCCCTGCACAGGTTTGGGAGCAGTGCTGGGGGCCTTTTCTCTGTCTCCATGGGTTACAGAGGTGGCTGGCTCTATGCCGGCACATCCCCCAGCATGGGGAGTACCATCTCTCCCGCTGCAGGTTGTGGGGTAGGGATGGGCACAGGATGCTAGCAGGCACTGGGGCACTGGCTCAGCACAAGGCTTACCCAGCAGCCCGCTGGAGTAGTCTGACACAGATCTGTCCTGGCACAGAGGCAGCAATGGCGGGGCCGAGCTGGTGCTCCGAGGGGCAGCACCCACAGCATTGCCGATTTCTGCTAGGAAGACATTGGGAAGAAACCAGTGTAGCTCAGAGGTGGGATGCACAGAACCCCATCAGATCCCTGGAAAGCTCCCGCTGGCACAGACCCACCCATTACCCTTGTCCCACCCACACAGGAGGACATGCCCAGCCAAACCCATCCATGGCCTGTCTATGCACAGGCCCTTGCTGTGCCATGAGAGGCTGAGCGGTGCAATGGCTGCGCCCACAAGGAGCAAGGGGGGAGCCTTGCCCACAGGCAAGTGCCAACTGCCTGCACCCCGTGCCTGGCTGCTGCTGAGCCCCAAGTTACCGGGCAGGCTGCGAGGGCCTAAGGGGAATAGGACCTCCGGGTTTCTTGTCCTGGTGCTGCAGTGCATGGCCCCGGTGGAAACAGTGTGCAGGACAAAGCTGTCCATCGCCCCTGCATAGCCGGCGTGTGGCTCCTGCACCATGGTACCCGTGCTGTCACCGCCTGCTATCACAGAGGGATGACGTCACACATGTACGGTGCACAGCAGAACGCGTCTGGGCACTGTGCTCAGCCTCTGGGATCTCTGGGGAGCTTGGCCAGCACAGGGGGACAGCCAGCCTGGGCTGGAGAAGCAGCCTTGGTGGAGTAGGCAGTGCAGAGCCTAGGCCATAGGTGGCCCCAGAGAACCTCCTGCTGCTTTGTGGGTACCTGGCTGATAAGGCCCCATGAGTTCCCATCTTCAAAGGCAGCACAGGAGGTCCAGGCAAGAGGTCAGCAGCATGTCTTCCCCAGCAGTGTGGAAGGGACAGACCTGCTGTCCCCTTGTCATTCCCTTGGTAAATCCTCTCTTGGTTTCTTTCTTTCCCCAACCTGCTTTCCAAGTCACTTGGTGTCAGGTAAGAGACACTCTCATTGTGTTGGCAGTGCCAGTGTGGAGCGCTGGGCTCACCGCTATCCCTTCTTGACCCATGCTGTCCCCACTGCATGCGTGGTCCTGTGCAGCCCTGGCATAGCCCCGCTGCTCACAGCCTCTGCAGGGCTGTAGGAGCAGCTTCCCTGTCCCCCAGATTGTGTTCCCATGCTGCTGGGTCAGGAGCTGGTGGGCATCTCTGGGATGTGCTGTCCCGGCCGGGATCCCCCCTCCAGCCTGGCTCACGGCCCGTCTCTGTTCCTTTTCCCCTCCAGTGGACCAGAGCATGTTTGAGAACGCCAGTGCCAGCACAGCACCCACCCTGCGGCCACAGCACACCCCCAGCAC